AGAGAGAGAGAGAAGGAAGAGAGAGAGGTAGGTAGGATAGGGGGGTACCACTGCCATGGCTCTTCCCACTCCCCTACCCTTATGAGAGGTCGGGAGCGCTGCGAGTATGCGCCCTACCTCTTGGTCTGCCTCCAGCAGCACCTCTTCACGAAGCTGCTGCCCTTGCCGAGGGGTCCCTTCTCTTCGATGCCTGGCAGGGTTTAGGGTTTAGGGTTCAGGGCAGGGGAAGGGCTCTAGGGGAATGCGAAGTCTAAGAGGCTTTCGAGAGAAGTTTTTGGGGTCGGGTCAACTGGGAGGTGCTGTCCTACTGTGGTTTCGTTGCGGTTGCATGCTCCTACTACGACATCCTGCCCTATACCCTACTTCTACCCCGACTACGCCTGCCCCCATCGCTGCTCCTGCCTGCCATCCTCCCCTATTGGTACCGCAAAGCCGAACGCCCCCAGCCGCTATGCACCATCCCAAGCCGAGGAAGTTGGAGGAGTGTGACATTTGGGGCGGCTGGGACTCCTCGCATCCGACGGTGACGCGCCCGATGCAGCTGGACATGCTGCAGGTGCTCTGCCGACTAACGGAGCCGCTCGGTGGCCTCAGTTTTTTTTTCAAAGCTAGGCGGAGTCCTATCTAAAGTTTCGGGTCTTCAGCGGCAGATGTCCATTTCTGTTCCATCTCTTTGTGAGAGGGCACTCTCAGTGTCTTCGAGCTGAACTCTAAGCCCTTATAAACCCTAGACCCCAAAATCCCAAAAACACCCCAAACCCTGAACCCTGAACCCCGAAACCCTAAACCCCTAAAGCCCTAAACCCTAAACCCAACAAAACAACCAAAAAACCCTAAACCCTGAACCCCGAACCCCAAGCCTGAACTTTGCACCTTTTGCGCAGCAGCACCGGCTCCGAGGCTCTTCGTGTGCGCGTCTTTGGAAGCCCGGCCTGCCATGGATCCTTCGGGGTTTAGGGGTTTAGGGTTTGGGGTTTAGGGTTAAGGTTTTCAGGGTTTAGGGTTTAGGCTTTAGGGTTTTAGGGTTTTAGGGTTTTAGGGTTTTAGGGTTTAGGGTTTAGGGTTTGGGGTCGTTCTTCCGAATGAGGCCCCCCCCACCAGATACGCCCCTGAGCTTCTCAAGGAAACCCTTAACCCTTAACCCGAAACCCCAAACCCTCAACTTCTGTAACAAAAGGGGGCAGAAACCTTCTAGCTACTCCCTTGAGCTTCCCTGGGACCTAAGCCCGCTCCTCCCTAAGCTCTACGTATAACCCAAGGAGATGCGCTGCAAGAGCCACACGGCCCGCACCTTCGACGCCGTGAAGATCACGGTGCTCTCTGCGGCAGCAGCCATGGCAGACCGAATCATCCGGATCTGGCCCATGGATGACAGGCAGGGGGCTTCAGGTTTTCGGGTGTCTTCGGTTGTAGGGTGTTTTCGGTTTTAGGGTTTTAGGTTCTAGGATTTTAGGCTTGTGGCTTCTAGGTTTTAGGGTTCAAGGTTTTAGGGTTCTAGGCCATGGGGGTTTGGGGTTTAGGGCTGGATGGCAGGACCCACTTCAATCGGGCGTTGTGAACTCTGGGGCTCCAGGGCTCCAGGGTGGGAGGGAACCATTCGGGTTTAGGGTTTAGGGGCTTTGCAAAGTTTAAGTTAAGGGCGTCGTGGTGCATCTCAAGTCTCAAGAAGGCTTATGATGCTCTTGTAGAGTTCCGCAAGCTTTTTGCTATGAGGAGTTGCGGTTTTTATGGCTTAGGGCTTCAGCGAAGCCTGGCGGTTTGGGGCGTAGAGTTTGGGACATCTTCTTGACTTCGGAGTCCAGGGGCTTGGGAAGGGCCCGAGGGCTTGAATATAGACCCCCCGCTACATAAACCTCCTTTCAAGGGCCTCAGCATCAACCCTAAACCCTAAACCCTAAACCCCTAAACCCCTAAACCCTAAACCAACCCCAAAACGACCCCTGGAAACCTGAAGCCCCGAAAGCTGTCCTGGAGACCCCCCTCGACCCTCAACTCTAAACCGTAAACCACACTATATACTTTACTATACTATATACTATACTATATACTATATACTATATACTATATACTATATACTATATAGTATATAGTATATAGTATATACCATATACTAGATACTAGATACTAGATACTAGATACTA